TTTATTTATTTGACAGGTGGAATTACAGACAGTGAGAGAGAAAGAGAAAGAGAGAGACAGCGAGAAAGGTCTTCCTTCCGTTGGTTCACTCCCCAAATGGCCGCCACGGCTGGTGCTGTGCCAATCCAAAGCCTGGAGCCAGGTGCTTCTCCTGGTCTCCCATGCAGGTGCAGGGCCCAAGGACTTGGGCCATCCTCCACTGCCCTCCCAGGCCACAGCAGAGAGCTGGACTGGAAGAAGAGCAACCGGGACTATAACCCTGCGCCCATATGGGATGCTGGTGCTGCAGGCGGAGGATTAGCCTAGTGAGCCACGGCGTCAGCCCCCTTATTCACTCTTGTATTGCATTATCATATCCTGTCATATCACTTGTACAAATAAGCATAAATGTACACACATATAATATCTTTATTTGTTTTCAATTATATAGTTATCTTTGTCTGAAATGGAGTGTATTTTCTACTCACTGAAGAAATATATTTGAGAAATATTTTCAATTTGTATAGAAAGAGGTTTGTCAGGAAGGGGAATTTTAGATTTTTATAAGTTTTGTCTTCATTGAATTATACCACATACATATTAATATGCCTCTCTTTCCTCACTTTCTGATCTTTTTCATGAGACACATGTTGTGTGATATTAATATACCCATCCTAGGTTTTAAGAAAAATAGCATGTATGTATATATACATCACATTTATATATAAAGTGAATATGATATAATGAGAAAATTCCTAAAGGCATTTGTGCTCATTGAATTCTTTTTTATACTTTTATGTATTATTTGAAGTACTTTAAAGTGAAGATACAAAATGTAAATTAAACAAAAATGAATGAGAAGCTTTTTCTTTATTAATGGCAGGAATCTAATTTTATTTGAACATCTCAGGATAATTTCTTTGGTTCAAAATATAAGTTAAGGGCATGGTAAGGAATATTTCAAATGTGATTAAGTCCTTTATTACCTATTATGTTACAGATTAATTATTAATAAATACCATGTATGATTGGCCCTCAAAACCATAACTTCTTTTTCAATGTCACACAATACTTAACATTCTAAAACATAAATAACAACATCAACCATCTTTTTGAGATACTCAGCCATAGATACAGTCGAAACAGTTGCAATAGACAGGAAGTATATAAGATGCTAACTACACTAAGATTTCCAGTTTTCCTTTACCTTTCCATTGATTCAGATAATTTTGCTAAAGCATGACAGGTTTTCCTGATCCATCTGAGGATGCTGACATAATGTCAAGAATGTCAGTTTCTATGAATTTAATTTGACTAAATATCATTATAGAAGTTTTAGGAACAACAAATTTTGTGTCAAAATTTTAATGCATTTTACAGCATGAAAATATTAAACAATGAAGCTTTCTTGATGTTTGTACAAATATTTAATGTCATTTTTGAAAATTCGATCGTTGGATGATGAGTCATACTAGGATGATTTTATTTGGCTATTTTCAGTTTCGTTACTTGAGCTAGCTAGATTTAAGAGCAGCTCTAGTGATTAATGTATTTCCTTCATCACTCATATTTTTGGGCTGGGGGGCCAAGTGTGTCTGCAGTGACAGTGATAAATACATGGCCATAATCTTCATCTCTGAAAACAGAATAAATTCCTAGCATAATACTTTCTATACAATTGATCCAAAATAAATTAGCATTGACTTACAGAAATTTGAACAAATTTTGATCTTTACTAACATTATACTCTTGTATCACATGTGATTTCAGGGTGACATACAAATATGGTTTCTTAACTACATGCCCTGTGGTTAAGCTAAGAAGCAGGCTCTTGGTGTGTCACTTATAAGCAACACAGCTTGTGGCAAGTTACTTCCTATCTTGGTTTCCTCCCATGAATTAAATGGGAATAATGAAATAGCCAGGAAGATGAAGGGAGTTAAACATGGAAAGCACTTGAAAATCATTTAACACCATGTATGTTGTATACAATATTATTATTAATTACTACTCTATTTTAGGTAACTCTCATTCAACTCCCTCTGATATATCTAATTTCCATCTTTGAAGAAGGTATAATTCATTTAAACATCATATTATAGAAGGGATCTTTCTGATCTACTATTGTTGATGATACTCAAAATTAACACAAATGCCCCATTCACTAATGAGTTTTTTTGTGGACTGTCCTTCTGTGTTACTTATCACAATCCATTAACTCACTCTGGGAAGTGTTACAAGTTTATCAGAACTTTAGCAATTGGAATACTCAATTATCCTTTAAAATTGTTCATAATATAATATCAATAAGATTTTCTTTAGATGTAAGAAGTAAATATTAGCTTCTTGTTTCTTTTCCATAACCAGTAAGTAGGTATTCATAGGAAAAAGAAAAACACAACATGTAGAAAGAGAAACAATTTTATCAATCTATTAAAATTTTACTTTTAGCAGTATTTTGTAATGCCTTTTAGGAGAAAATTGAGTATATATATCTGATTTTGTGGGATTGGAGGAGAGTGAGTGGTGGTTATATAACTTTTTAAAAGTTGTTATATAACCAATACCTTGCACAAAGGAAGTTTAATAAATGTGTTTACTCTGAAATAATCAACCATATAATTTCTTTGCAACACTGAATGAAGGTAAAAAAATAGTTTTCAGATTTATTCATGTTTTCAAGGTAATTGTTATTCATGTTTATACTCAATGGTTTTAATTTCTGTAATCCTAAAGGAACTTTAAATTTTTCTCCTGAATACTTGGACTACTGCATAGGTGTTTCAAGTGAAGTGGGCCTTGCTTCCAATAGTACCAAGGGCTCCTTTGCAGGTACAGAAGCCACAGGTACTTCTGGGCTTCATGGGGTTTAATATGATGAAAATTACGTAGATGTTATTGCCAAGTCTCCCAGTTCTTTGAAATTAGTCACAATTAAGGAGGAATGACAGTTCATCTGCAGCCATCTGACTGTTGGATCAAGTTTCTTGTAAGCTGTACTAAATCTCTGAGTTCCTTCCTGTAACTTACATAATCCTGTCAATGGCCTCATGGCTAGCACAGGCTTTAGATCTAGACAGTCACCTCCTATCTTCTCTGCTATTTACTGATTGTGTGACTTCTGTTGAGTTATCTCATCTTTTCTGAGCCCATGTGCTTTATCTATGAAATGGAGATAATTTTAACTTTTCTTTCATAGGTATATTGGAGTAACACAGGGCTATAAAAAGAACAGCTATATAAAGGGAGAAATAGACAGATAAAAGAATGTGAAGGTTACTTGTTAATTTATATAAAGGTTTGTATTTTCCATTCTCAGCTTCCTGTTCTCACTTATATTTAACTGTACTGTGTTACGTGAGGGAATAAAGTGCAAAGCCTTAAAATATAAAACAGTGGTATGGGGCCAGCACTGTGACACAGTGGATTTAGTTGCCCCTTGTGACACTGGCAGACCATATTGGGGTGCCAGTTCTTGTCACAGCTGTTACACTTCCAATTCAGCTACCTGCTAATGAGCCTGGGAAGGCAGTAGAAGATGGCTCAAGTGCTGGGGTCCCTGCAGCCACATGAGAGACCCGGATGGAGTTCCAGGCTCCAAGCTTGACTTTGGCCTGGCCTATACTCTGGCATTGCAGACATTTGGGAAGTGAACCAGCAGATGGAAGATCTCTTTCTCTGTCTCTCCTTCTCTGGTTACTCTACCTGAATAAAATAAGTCTTAAAAAAATAGTGGGATAGGTCAGAAAAAATTTCATGGAAGAAATAAGCTTCAAGTTTGCCTGGAAATACAGCGCTAATTTTAAATCAAGAGTGACAAAAATTTACATAGACAGAAAGAAACTTCATCTAAGACCTGATATGCTCTAAACTGCCCTTGTTATGTCTTATTAGAGGCAGTCCATGTGACTGGTTCATCAAAGTCTCAATGTAAACCAATCTATTGTCTATATATGCATGAACTCTTTACCATAAACTAAGACCCTGATGAGTAAGAGCAGAAATTGAATTTGACCATAAAACCATTATGCATGAAATTCTACCTCTGATTAGAGGCATAGGCTCACATTTTGTGGAGCTATATCTTTATATAACTTCTAAGACCAAGCATAAAATGAATAGGACCTTGTATAGCTTATTTCCTCAGCACTAATATATTAAGGCTATAACATTAAAATACTTTTCATCTACTCTATATTTAAGTTGAATGTTTCTTCATATAAAACATTTCCTCTTATTTCCTCTTAGGCGATAATCTGCACTCATTTATGGGCAATCTGTCAATTTATACATTTGTGAAATTTAGTGATTTTTTCTTCTAAACTAGAAAATACTGTATCTTTGTCCAAATTCTGAGTTTTAATGTTGGATGGCGTATTATGAAACTGATAAGATAGGTGGGTTTCTAAAAGTACAATGTAGCAAATTGCATGAATTTCATGAAATTAGACTATCAAAACTGGGATTTGCCTTGAAGATCTGAAATATAAAAGATATGCTGTGTTAAACAGATGGGAATATTTTAGTGCTTTCCCTTTTTATTACTTTTCCCATTTTATAAATGAATATTTTGCAGGGGTGAGGTGAGGACCAAATGCAGACAGCTCTGTCACAGCATCCCATTCTTAGAACTTTTTCTTCTCTCCCACATCTCTCATCCCTTGCCCATTTCCAGCCTCTGAGGTCTTGCACTCCCCTAGATAAAATCTTTTGAAAGTCTGCAGCCCATTACTGAAATACAACCTTTCTTTGTGAAGTCAAATAAAGCAAAGAAATCAGAAAGTATAAGAACATTTTCTGAGGCAACATAGTGATTTAGTAGCCGACGCTATAATTTAGGTTTCCGATCTTGTTTTGGATTTTGTACTGTATCCTCCTTTAAGAACAGACTATGAGTTGGTGCCTGCTTAAAGTATTCCCCAAGTTTGTAAATTCTTATATTTTCTTTCTGTGCATAGATGGCATGTAAAGTGCTGAATTACACAGGGAATTAAATGCAAGAAGAGCCAATTTGTACTTACTCTTGTATTGTTTCTTTCAGCTTTAAGTTCAGAAATTTCTTCTTCCTTTTCAAGAAGTTGTTCCCTGCAGGCATTCAATTCTTTCGTCAGTGCAGCAAATTCCTGCAAGAGGAGGGAAAATATTTGAAGACATGTTGAAGCAGAAACAATTAATTTAAGTAGGAAGAACAAAATTTAAAAGTTGTACTTTTGAATGAAAAGAACAGAGAAAAATGAACTTGTTTGTCAGAAAATTTATATTGCTATTACCAAAGTATCTTGATTTCTTTGTATAAAAAGAATGTTGATCCGTGGTATTATCATATGCATTTTATTATAATATGCTGCTTATAGAGGCTTATAAAATATTTTTGAAATGCATAAGATACATCACACTGAGTTTAACATTAGTATGATAACTTATTGCTGATTAGTTCGGAAAGTTTTGTGAACAGATTACAAATATCACACTTTATTTTCTGCTCAGCAATGTTCGCACAGATGATAGTAAATCATCAAACTAGCAATAAAAATCCTACTGAATGTACACTTGGAAATTAAGAAATCTATTTGTGGGGCCAGCGCCGTGGCTCACTTGTTTAATCCTCCGCCTGCAGCGCCGGCATCCCACATGGGCGCCGGTTCTAGTCCCAGTTCCTCTTCTTCTAGTCCAGCTCTCTGCTGTGGCCTGGGAGGGCAGTAGAGGATGGCCCAAGTCCTTGGGCCCCTGCACCCACGTGGGAGACCAGAAAGAAGCACCTGGCTCCTGGCTTTGGATTGTCATAGCGCTGGCTGTGGTGGACATTTGGGGAGTGAACCAACGGAAGGAAGACCTTTCTCTCTGTCTCTCTCTCTTTCTCTCTCACTGTCTATAACTCTACCTGTCAAAATAAAATTAAAAAAAGAAATCTATTTAACAAAATGAAGAAAAGGAAATCTACCCAAATTTTAAAATTAATAAGTATGTCTAAGCTTGAATAACATTATTTAAAGCTTTCTTAGTAATTTGTATATATTTCAGTCTTCTGAAAGGTGAGTTCCATGTGGACAGGGGCTCTGACTTGTTCACTGTTGTATGAGCCATGTCTACAGGGCAGTGGGTGCTACATTAATGTTTATTTCCCATAAATGAAATGAATCATACTGTTGCCAAAAAGTTAGTTTTAGAGTAACCCCACCTTTATATGGTGAATGACAGCTTGAAGAACTTGTCAAGAGCTTCCTTTCTCAAAATGGAATCATAGGATACAGGTATGTTTATGCCCAGAAACAACTGCTTAATAAAAAGGCCAAGAAATCTAATTAAGCTATATGGCTTCTGGAATATATAAATATATATTTACAATTTTACAAAGTGGTAAATAGACGTATATTTTGATTAAAACCTTTAGAGGCATTCTTAGTAATAAAATTGATGCTTATCCATATGTAAGTACTTGGGAAAACTTGGCTCCAGGCTGAGAGGCACTCTAAGATCAAAAAGGAAAAACAAAATGCGGAAGACAGGTTTAGTTAACTGATCCCTCCACAAAGACAAATTTAGCAAAATGTTCATGCATATGATGATTATGCAAAACTAGAGAAAGTTTGGAGGTTTATATTTTTGTTTACTTCAAACTACTTATTTTGCTGAGTTTCTCTGAATGGTTTCAACCCAAGTGAGTACTTCAAAGACCTCGGAGTAGACTCTAGGGCTTGCAATCTAGATGAAAGATTTCATTGTTGCATTTTGGCTGACATTACAGATAAATGTTTTTTTCCTCTGATTTTCGCATGTTTAAATGTCACTGGTATTCACTAAGTATATTATTGGAATGGAAATAAGTAACAAGTAGAAAATAATAAACCCTTATCAAAAAAAGAAATTTTGTTCATATACAAAATAGTTTTGACAGAAAAAAAACCTGCCATAACTATGAATGGTCTTCAAGTACTTTATGGAAAATGAATATTACAAAAAAGCTATGTATATATTTCAAAAATTTTGGGCTCTAAAATAATTTCTCAGTTACTCTTTGAAATACTCTCATATTTTAGATTGTATGTTAACATGTAAGTATTTAAAATATCCTATACACAAACATATATATAAACTATATATATGTATATATTATACTGACAACAAAACTATAGATCTGATTTGTATTTTTTTTAAGATTTTTTTATTTATTAGAAAGGCAGAGTGTTTGTGTGTGAGAGAGAGAAAGAGAGAGAGAATCATCTTCTGGTTCATTCTCCAAATGGCCTCAATATCCAGGGTTAGTCTAGGACAAAGCCAGGAGACAGGATCTCTACTGGGTATCCCACATATCGGGCAGAGACATAAATACTTGAGTTATCTTATGTTGCTTGTCCAGGCACGTTAGTAGGCAGGTGGATGAGAAGTGGAGCAGCTGGGACGTGAACCAGCACTCCCATATGGGATGCTGGATCATGATGGGAGGCTTAACCTGCTGTACTACCACTCTGGCCCCCAAATCTGTATGTTTAACATATGCCCCAAAGCATGTATCTGTCTGTAACTTTCACAAGATTTAGCTTTTTATTCATAGAAAGAAAGTATTTCAGAATTTTAATATTAAATATGTTCAGGTAGTTTCATATTTGAATGATTCCTGTGGTTTTTTTTGGTGCCTTTCTATATGTTGCTTTTGTCAAAATTCTCTGGAATGAGGAAATAGTCTTTTGTGCTTAGAGAAGTAGAGACAATATAAATCTCTAACTGCACGGAAACAATGATGTATTTGAAACAGAAGGACGGACAGTCAGGATGTTACTGATGACAGACATCTGCACATTTCTCTTATCATGGCATGGCCTCTGAGCAGGCTGTTTAGTGAGTCCGTGTATGAAGATCAGTCTTACAGTTACTAACTTCCTACCAAATTTCAGGCACTCTTTTCACATTCATTATCTCAACTTGCTCCCTAAATACCTAGTAATGCAGTCTCATTTCCATCTTACGGCTGCAGAAATGGAATTACTAAGATGCAATTCTAAGTCCATAAAGCTCACAAGATATAGGGAGCAAGTAAGCTCTGAGCATAACCACCCATATTACAAGTCCACTGCTTTTCTCCCGTGTCATTTTTGAACCAGGTTGTTCATCTGGTTTATATGAAGAATAAAAAAGAAAGGAAGGAGAATGAGTGAGGAAGGAGGGAGAGAGGGAAGGAGGGAAGTATCATGTTCTCATATTTTATCTATGAAATATATGAATTCTGTTTCTTTGCATAAAAATAAATGGAGATAAAAGAAAAGTTTGTAGAAAATGGGATAAAAAGTTAAGCTTATTTTAGTGTAAAGCATTTCTGAAATGCAGGCACAGATTTTTTTTTTTAGGATTTATTTTTAAAGATTTATTTATTTATTTATTTGACTGGCTGAGTGACAGAGACAAAGAGGGAGAGACAGAGACCAAAAGATCTTCCAACCACTGGTTCACTCCCCAAATGGCCACCAAGGCTAGGGCTGGGGAAAAGCAATGCCAGGAGCCCAGTACTCTTTTCCAAGTCTCACATGTAGACGTCAGGGACCCAGGTATTTGGGGCCTTTACTGCTGCTTTCCCAGGTGTGTTAGCAGGGAGCTGGATGGAAAGCAGAGCAGCCAGGACTTGAACCTCCTCTGATACAGGAGGCTGGGATTGCAGGAGGCAGCATCAAAACACCAACAACCCCCTCCCCCACATTTTTTTTCCTATAATATGTACTTTCCATGAACTTTTTGAAGATCCTGATATGACTCAGATTTAGAATGCCCTTGGCAGTCTCTGTTTCCTTATTTACATTAAATATTACTGGGGCTGGTGCTGTGGCAGAGCAGGTAAAGCAGCCACCTGCAGTGCTAGCATCCCACATGGGCACTGGTTCTAGTCCCAGCTGTTCCACTTCCAACCCAACTTTCTGCTATGGCCTGGGAAAGCAGTAGGAGATGGCCCAAGTGCTTGCACTCTTGTACCCATGTGAGAAACCTGGAAGAAGCTCCTGGCTCCTGCCTTTGGATCGGCACAACTCCGGCCATTGTGAAGATGTAGGAAGTAAACCAGAGGATAGAAGACCTTTCTCTCTCTCTCTGCCTCTGCCTCTCTCTAACTCTGTCTTTCAAATAAATATGGAAATCTTTGAAAAAATAATCATTACTATAATTATCTTAAACAATCTCTTGTAATTAGTCCCAAGGGAACTAATACTAGGAGGTTGCAGGTAGGATATTACTTCCACAAAGGACAACATGTACTGGACAAGAGGTTGTACATATGTGGGACTGCAATAGACGCTAATATATCATATGGAGTAAACCATCCAAACTTTTACACTTGTCCTCTGACATTTCTCTATTCTCTAAATACTGCTCCATGCTCACTGTCAACATGAACTGAGTCTTCCATCATCTTATAAACTAGCAATAACATCAAATACAGCTCACATTGAATGGGTCCTTATGATATGCCAGATACTTTACTGAGCAATCTATATAGATGCTCTCATTAATTTTAGTAATACCCTGCCATGATCTACTGAAGTGATGCCATTTGCCCAAAGTTTTACACTTGGTGTTGGAACTTGGCTTTGAATCCAGAACATTTATTTCATTCTGGGCAATTACTGTAGCATTTCCCCCTCTCTGGCCAGAGGTTTTCTTCCAGTTTTTTTTTTTTTTTTTAGTTTTTATAAAAATCATATTTTCTCAAGCTTGCAAAATTTTCAGAACTTCTTACTACCAAACCCATCAAATTGGCCAACTCGCGGCTCACTAGGCTAATCCTCCGCCTGTGGTGCCAGCACACAGGGTTCTAGTCCTAGTAGGGTGCCGGATTCTGTCTCGGTTGCCCCTCTTCCAGTCTAGCTCTGTGTTGTGGGCCGGGAAGGCAGTGGAGGATGGCCCAAGTCCTTGGGCCCTGCACCCGCATGGGAGACCAGGAGAAGCACCTGGCTCCTGGCTTTGGATCAGCGCGATGCGCTGGCCTCGGCGGCCATTGGAGGGTGAACCAACGGCAAAAAGAAGACCTTTCTCTCTCACTGTCCACTCTGCCTGTCAAAAAAAAAAAAAAAAAAAAAAGAGAGAGAGAGAGAAAAAAGAAAAAAAAAACATCAAATTTAAGTAAACTTTTCAAAAGTTCGGA